CAAACGATGCTGAGCAAAAGGAGAAGTCACAGGAGTCCATTTTCAAGGATTCCATTTACATACAGTGAAACAGAAGGCGACACTAACTTAAGAGTTTAGCAGTGAAGTCAAAGTTGGGGAAACTACAAAGGAAAGCAAGCAAACAACGATCTTAAAAGTCAGGAGAATGGTTGCCTCCAAGTGGAAGGTGGGGGTGTGATGAAAAAGGGGCAGGCAGGAGCGTCTGTGGTCTCAGCCGTGTTCTATTTCTTCGCCTCAGTGACAGCTGCATGGATATTCGCTTGATCAATTTAATACTGAATATATGTTTTATACACACATCTGTATGGTATATAAAAATCAAAAGGCATAAAAAAAAATCTAACTAGAGGCCTGGAATCTTTTAATCCATGATCGACTCTAAGCTGCAGCCACACCTGTCAGGGCTCTGCTCCGACCCAGAGACACCTCTGACAAAATGACGTGGATCAGGTGGGAGCTTCCAGCAGGTGAGGGCAGGGTGGGGTGGGAAGGGCAGGGGGAGGCTTCCTGAAAAGCATGTCTCATGGTCTTGGCCTTGCTGCTGTGTTTTGTGGTAACACAGGCCAGGGGCTTTGGCTTTCCTTTTCTGGGACCTCCTCCTGCTGTGCCCCTTCCTCAGGAACTTGGCTCTAAATCCCATTCTGGTCTTGTACTTTCTTCTCGCTGGGGCTTGTACCTGGCGAGCCAGCATGATATGGAGGTATTTTCTGGCTTGCAGATTTCTCCAGTTTTAGGAACACTTGTGCCTTATTTTCCTTGGGGAAGGTAAGGTTATCCACGCACATAGTTCTCATATCCAAGGCACGCCCCACCCGTGGCAAGCTGCTTGCAGTTGCTCATAACCCCAGTTATGAATTCAGTCCCTCGTTCAATGAACACTTAGGCACACGGCAAATGTTCAGGGCTGGGGATATGATGTCTGCCTTAAGAGCCTAGCACGGTCCAGCTCATCAGACAACACCGCATCTATGAACAAATCAGAAAGTAACCCAGGAAGCTAACTTTCAAAAAGTCAAAAAAAAAAAAAAAAAAAGCGCAAACAGGAAACACGGATTATGCCTACTTTTGGTCTCTCATTTGGATCTGCCTCAGCCATACTCTTTCCTCATTCTGTCCAAGGCACGTGACTCATGCCCCTTGCATCTCTCCTGCAAGGTTTTCATTCCAGAAGCTCCCGTGAGCCCTTGGCCTCCATCGTATGCACGTCTGTCTTGCTCATGTTCCTTGCCTGTGTCAATTCTAGACACCAAAATGTGCCGGTGTTGCCACTACTGAAAAATTCTCACTGTTATTGTTATTTTGTTTTTGAGACAGGTCTCACTCTGTCACCCCGGCTGAGGTGCAGTGGCGTGATCTCGGCTCACTGCAACCCCCTCCTCCCAGGCTGAAGCGGTTTTCCCACGTCAGCCTCTCAAGTAGCTGGGACTACAGGCACGCGCCACCACACCTGACCAATTTTTGGATTTTTCGTAGAGACAGGGTGTTGCTGTGTTGCCTAGGCTGGTCTTGGACCCCTGACCTCAAGTGATCCACCCACCTCAGTCTCCCAAAGTGCTGAGATTACAGACATGAGCCACTATGCCTGCCAGTTCCCATCTTAAAATCACTTTGCTTTGAGCTATTTTATTCTCTTTTTTTCTCTGCCAATTTGGTAAAGAAAGTTCTAGGCTATGTCATCAGAAACTGCTGTACAAAAATCTATCACACGAGCTTCTGTTACATCTGAGATGCTGGCAGTGTGAAGGAAACAGAGAGAGACTTGAAGCCCCACAGCCTGAGAAGTGGGAAGGCATTCTGGCTGCTCTTGTCCCCCTTACAAGGGCTCTCCAATCCCCAGTCACACAAGGGGCGTGGGAGGGGACCCTGGCAGGCCAGCCTGTGCTTGGTGTGACACCAAGAGGGGTACTGCTGCTGGCGTCCCCAGCCTCCTGCCCTCTGCTACCCTATGTCCCGATCTCCACGAAGAAGAAGAGCCGCTTCTTCCTCGAGGACTGACCACCACCTCTCAGCTCCTCATTCTCCCTTTCGGAGTCCCACACCCTGAAAACATCCAGCTTTACTGTGTCCTGTACAGGATTCTGAGGAGTGGTTAAGGACCAAGCTCTGGAGCCAAAGTACCTGAGTTCAAATCCCAGCTCTTCCCTGGCTGGCTGTGGAACCTTGGGTACATTGTTTAATCTCTCTGTGCCTCAGTTTCATCATCTGTGAACTAGGTAGCTACGTACTTCATAGGATCCATAAGGATAAGGAGAGCAAACATAATACAGCCTCGCTCCGGGCCGGGCACGGTTCTATGCGCCTATACATACCAACGCATGTGAGTGACTCTTAATGGGTGCCTGCTACACTGTAAGTGCTCAGTGTTAGTCACCCAAGGTTTAATAGATGAAATCTCTCGACAAAATTGCAAACTCCAAAGGAAAGACAACCTCACAAGTTTTGAAATGTTGCATCATCTGTGGAAAGGACCTGGGCTCACAAGGAGTGATATTTAATCATTAAGTATGCATCTAAGTAAACCAAACCAAAATCAGAATTCCTAAATGATGACCCAAATCCTGGGCACCAGAAAGACACCAGAGCAGAGTGGTGACCAAGCTGGGTTCTGCAGTCAGCTGTCCCCGGGATAAGCCCCGCTCTGCCCCTCACTGCCTGGGCCACTGGGGCTTCCTCGCCATAGTGGAAGTCATGGAGGTCTCACTCCCAGATCCGCTCCTTTGCCCAACCAGCTGTATGCTGACTGCACCAGGGAAGTGTCCATCCTCAGCAGCCTTTGCCTACCCACTTGCAGAGGAGGATCCTGGTGAAAACTGGACAATGAAAGCTAAAAGTAAATTGCAGTTAAATGTGGGGACTGCCCGGCCCAGGCTCACCTGCACCAGGGAGTCGAGGGCTGACTCCGTGTCTGGGCATGGGTATATACACAGACTCTTAGTTTGCATTCGAGTGGGTCCAGCATTGATAAATCAGAGTCAGGTCATTTCTGGCCCTTGTAGAGTTAGGAAATAACTTATGAAAGCGGTCCTAAATTGCTCCGTAATTTCAGGTCGGAAGAATTTGCCTCTTACTTTCTAAGTCCTGTCTGCCACGTACAGCAACTGGGTCATCAGATAATTACAAGAGTGTAAAGCAGAACAGTGCAAATCCTGTTTACCCAAACAGCTCTGGCTCCTGTCTCTCATTCCCAGGTCAATAAACAGGCCATGTGTGGTTGCTTTCAGTCAGTGCCTACCACTGCCGAACCCTTGCCATTCAATATAAAACACAAGCGCCCTCCAAAGAAGCACCCCAGCTCTTCTGTCCCTAGACACGCTCAGATCCGCCCAGCTTCTCTGGGGTGATGATGGGGGTCATTTCTGTATTAATGGTGGCAGCCCTATCACTGGCCTCCTGGCCAGAGATGAAAATCAAGGTGCAGCTGCACCCTCAGCTTCCTCCTTCAGGCTGAGTGAGGATGAGCCTCTTCTGACGGCTATCAAGAAGACAGAGCCCCCCTGCTCCCCACCACCAGCCTGACACACCCTTGTTTTAGGAAATGGGCTGGAACACAAAGGGGAGACAGATTAGGTTAGATGAGGGCCTAATGGGAAGGCATCTGCTTAGCAACATAAAAAATGCTCTTGTGGGCCATGGCTCAGTGAATGCAAAGAAAAATGTAGGCAGCGCTTCGATCTACACACAGCATCGTTTGCAGAAACGGTGGAATGAGGGAGTGGCTTCCATGGAAAGGTATGGCCCAGGATGATGTGGGCCCTGGGCCACCAGCAGGGCAGGGCTCATCACCCCAAGGCAGATGGAAGCTGCCCATGGAACAAGGCCACACTGCTCCCTGGGCAGGCGCAGCTAAGGAGAGGGAGCCACGGTCCTCCAGTATCATCCTGGCCCAAGCTTTCCTATGTGGGAACCCGGGGCACGCTTTCCCCTTTTCGTCACATAAACTGAGTGCCCATCCATGGATGAGCAGGTGTGGGGGGTGCTGGGGAAGGTTTGGGCTGGGCTCATTGGGAGGACAGAGGACAGAAGAGAGAGGACGTTTCGTTCTTATCCATCACACTTGCTGCTCCTGGTACAGCTGTCATTCTCACTCAGGCTCTGTAGGAACAGGCAATGGTGCGGCAGGAGATGGGAGCCTGGTCAGATGCCCATGAAGGAGCCTCAAAGGTGGCTCCTCCACCAGCCAGGTACAGATCCGTGAGTCACTGAGTCAGGGCTTACCAGAGAGCCAGCAAGGCTTATGCAGAGAGGAGGGAGGGAAGGAGGGAGGACAAAGGCAGAGGGAGGAGGGAAGAAGAAGGGAAGGAAAGGAGGGAAAGAGTGGGGAGGGACATCTGTCAGGGCCTGTGACCATACCACAGCCACTTCTGCCATCCTGGAGTGTCCATCGTGCACTCCTGGAATGCAAAGCCGACCCTCTCCAGGTCTACCCAGACACTCCTCACTCCCCAAGGCCTTCCAAGACATCAGTCTTCCCAGAGCAGTTCAACCGCCAGGAACCAGCAGTGCTGCCGAACCCTGACCACCCCTAAGTGTGGCTACCCACCTGCAACCTCAGACATGTGCCAAGTAAGCCCCAAACCATGCTTCAACCCAAGTTATCTGTTGTCTTCTCCCTGGATCAGCTGTCAGGTGACGCTGGATGTCTGTCAGCCTCCATGATGGCTCTGAGCTCCACTAACAGTGCTGTGACTCTCTCATCAGTCCCCATTTCTGACCCAGGAAAAGAATCTGTAGCCACAACTCCCACTCCAGGCCTTGCCTGTTCCAGGATGGCACACGCCGGCATCTGCCCTTTTCCTGGAAGGCTCCTGGGACCTTGACCTCGGCCTGGTCCTGTCCCTAAAACTCAGTAGTCCTTTACTCTCCACCCCCTTCTCACCTGCAGCCCCTGACACCTGCACCACCTCCCATCTGAGATCTAATGACTCTCAACAGAAACATGATAACGTGAACCGGTAAAGGCCATTGGAGCAGAAACTCACCGGTAAATGCCCAAGGAGAGGCGTGATACTGTCAGAGACATAGATGATGCTGCCGTCTGTTGTCACCGCGATAATGAAGCCATCTAATGCCTGTGGAAAATGCAACATTTGAAAGCTCCTTAGCAACGCTTTTATGGAGGAGCATGTCACCGAAGCAGAGGACACTATTTGAGGACACTGGCTTTGTTTTATAATCCTCAGAATATTTCCATGAATAACCTCACGGCACTTCTTGGCCTTCCACGGAGGACAGCTTCTTACAGAGAATGTGTCTGGCCCAGGAAAAGCATTTGCAAAAGCACTACAGGATCAGTGAAAAATGTGACCTAGTGGCATAATAAAATAACACTTAGCCATGGAAATTCCCTAAGTAGGTTTAATGATAAGCACATTATTAGCCGGATTCAGAAATACCACCATTGCCATTAGAAAACATCAGCCATAGCTGATGGTTCCCATCTCCCTACCCCTGCCATCACTGAGTTCAATGGTAAACATTTGCCCTGATAAAGATATCAGACCTAACAGATGCATGAAAAACAGAAAGTGTGCCTATTGGCCGAGGTGGGCCTCTGCTCACATTCATTGCCACAAGAGAAATGCCCACTGAAGGAACTGCTTGTAAAGAACATTCACATGATTCTACAGGGCTGGGTGGGTGTGGGGGTTGCGTAACTCAACTGGATCCATAAGCATTTCAGAATGTCTGAAAAATTCATGCATTTGAAAGTCTCTACTGAGTGCCTACTCTATGCTGGGCACACTGTCCTGGGTGCTTGTGATATAACAGGTTGAAGGGGGGCAATGCTTTCTCATAAAGCAGGCACTGTTGCTCGTGTTTTTTTGTTTTTTTTGTTTTTTTTTTGAGATGGAGTCTCACTGTCGCCCAGGTTGGAGGGCAGTGGCATGATCTCGGCTCACTGCAACCTCCGCTTCTCAAGTTCAAGTGATTCTCCTGCCTCAGCCTCCCAAGTAGCTGGGATTACAGGCACACACCACCATGTCCAGCTAATTTTTGTATTTTTAGTAGAGAGAGGGTTTCACCATGTTGACCAGGCTGGTCTTGAACTCCTGTCCTCAAGCGATCTGCCTGCCTCAGCCTCCCAAAGTGCTGGGATGACAGGTGTGAGCCACTGCGCCCGGCCACTTTTGCTGGTTTTAGATTATTTATTGGGATTTATTTTGGTGTGGGTGCTTGTAATGCTTTCATAAGATGTATCTGAAAGTTGATTTCTAAAACAAAGACGACATAATTCAGCAGAGAATAGGATCATAGTGGCAACTGGCTGTCTAGGTGAAGGGGAGGGATGCCAGTGAAGGGGAGGAGACTAGAAATGAAGCCTACCTCTCCAAGTCTTTAAGGGAATAATAGGCCCAGGGAGACTTTCACTGGAAACCTGTCACTGTCGATTCACTGACTTTTTCTTTGAAAGACTATCTTTCCCGAATCTGGAAGTTTTTCCGCTTAGGAAAAAAAGTGAAATATGTGCTTAGAAAGCTCCGGAAACATGTTGCATGCACTCAACTAGATGGTCACATGATGTCTGAGAATCTGCGTGGAGGAAAGGGCGTTCATTCTTTCACGTGAGGAGGGTGTGGTTAAGTGCGTGGCAGCAGGAACCCGGAAGAGGCCAGGAGCAGTTTGTGTGAAGGTTACCTTTGTCGCATATGCCGAAATGGGAAAGAGTTCTTTTCACCAGGAAAGTTAACACTAGACTCATTTATTATTTTACACTGACAGCTGGCAGGATTTAGACTGAAGAACAGATTCAAGTACGTTTCTTAAATGGACCTCATCCTCTTGGATGACATCAGTGGTTCTCAACTGGGAGCAACTTCGGTAATGTCTGGAGGCATTTTTGGTTGTCACCACTGGAGTGGGTGGTGTTGGCATCTAGTGCTGCCAAATATCCTGTAATACGCAGGACAGCCCCCACGACAAAGAACTACCAGGTCCAAAATCACCATAGGGCAAGATTGAGAAACGCTGGGTTAAATTTGTGAGTTACGGTAAACGAAGCAGTACATCCCAGGAACTTTTCCTTCCCAAGTATTTTTCTAAAAATGTTTTGAAGTCATCTTGGCAGCCCTCTAGGAGGTGAATTTTTTTTAAGGGGTAAGGGTACTGTTGATGACATCAGTGAGACTTTTCTGGAAAAAGCAGATTGGAAAGCTGGGTAAAGCCAGGGCAGTGCAAACGGTCTTGCACAGTGAGCCATGTCCCTCCTGAATGTCTAAAGCAAGCGGGTGTTAAAAAGCTGAAGGTATTTATAGACGGAAGATAACTTTCATCAGCTCATTGGCATTTCCATCAACTCTATGAGAGCTGCACTGAGTCACTGCTTTAAGAAAGCTTGCTATGGTTCTGGAAGTCCCATCGGTAGCATCTGAAAGGGATTCAACAGCAAGAGATTGCAAAGTGCTGTGCCCCTCTCCATGGAAGGGTGATTTTGACTGGGGTGTTTCCAAAGGAGCCATAATGGTTCAGAATTTGATACCCGCCACACACTCGAGGGAAATGAAACCTTCCCTTTCTGCTAATTCCTGAATCAGTTGGAACATTTCTTGTGTTCTCTGGGACAACCTCTGGGCTAAGAGATCGCTTTTCTGATTAAAATTCAGAAATTCCACAAGCTCCTATTCCCCGGGCCACAGGCACTTTGTCTCCTCTTGAGTGAAATTGTTCCAATGCTGGTAGCCACAGTCTTTGCCAGCTGATACTTTCCCAGCTCAGCTGGTCTGCAGCCAGGTCAATTTTGTTTTTTCAAACTTCACAGCTATGTGAGTCCCCCTGGAGTCTGGTTTTGTGCCTCTTTGAGAGAAGATGGAAGAAGATGGGAGTCACATCTGGAGGGCATTAGCAGTTCCCTAGAGACAAGATGGGTTCTCTCCTGGGCTCTGTCCTCATTTTAAAAAGGGAACATCCTGGCCACTAAGACATGGCACCTGGATTCTTCACAGTCTCTGAAAAAAACAGAGGGAGGTGCAGCTGGAGAGAGACCCATGCTATGGGAAGGTTGCACTGGACAATGACGACATCACCCTGGAGGCTCTCCATCTCCCGCAACCACAGCTGGGGCTCAGGCCATCAGGAAGGAGATGCTAGAAGGCTCCAGTCACTCAGCACTAGGTCTGTGTCTACTGAAGAGCCACAGGTTGGAAGAGAAGCCTGACATAGTCATGGTCAGCAGTATTAGTTGGTGGACTTCCCAGACCACTCACAGCTGCCATTCACCCAGAAGGCCTGCTGGTTGTGCAGCTTCATTTCAGATCCAATTCATTCATCTAGCGTGATTTCCTTTCCACCGGCTTCTAGGAGTCCACACCGGGAGCAAGGAAAAGTGCATAAAGACTATAAAAATATCAATCTTCCTTGTCTAGAAATTCCAGTCTCCTGAATCTCAGTCCTGTCTTCTAGCCCCGAAATTTATTCATTTTTAACTTTACAAAAACCCTATTTCCTCAAATACTTTTGATAGTTTGAAACTCACTGGGAAAAAAAAAAAAAAAAAGGTTGTGCTACAGGCTCTTAAAAAAAGGCTGCTGCTATAGGGTTATGTGTTTTAACTACTTTTCCATAAGAATTAAAAGATAAATCGATTTATGTAAATTAGCATAATGATACATTAATTCAACATTTCACAAGCTGCTTTAAATTTAACATACTTAAAAATGCATTGCTTCTGCAGAAAGTTCTGTATTTTCTTTAAATATAGTTCACATGTAGATTTAAGTATCTTTCATCTTATGCAAATGTTCATTAATGCGTTTACATTTCATAATATTTGGACATCTTCATTCTGGCATTTTCTTACTCCAGTACTTTCTGTTTTCTGCAAGTTAATCTATGTAAATTGAAGTTTACATCAGTCTTATATAGGCACATAAGATATGAGAGAGAAAGATTTATCCCCAGAAGCCACTCTCCAAACACCCTGCCAGGAACTACTGGTCACAGCCAGCATCTAACTTCCCTTCCCTTTGCTGAGCTCATCTGTCCCAGTTCACCTCTTCTTGGTTGCAGGCCTGGATATGCCTGCCTGGAGCTTTTTCTGCCCCACTGCCATATCCATACACTCCAAAACTTATCCCAGGTGAGAAGCCACAGCACCTTGGCAGTTGTTTCTGTAGAGGCTTATACTCATCTGTACTGAGGAGTTTCACCCATATACAAAGATATGATGTTGAGATCAGCCAGGTTTTCACAAATACAGCCCTACAGATGAGTATGGGGCCTCTGACCCAGAGGGAGGAACATGAGCATCTCACCCAGCACAGAAAGGGCGTGAGCCTGATGGGGAGGCACGGGGTCCTTGTGGCTAACATCTGTATGCCATGTGGATGTAATATGAGTTCAAGTTCAAAGCATATCTTTAAAAGACAACTTTTAATTTCAAAACGTGTTTCTACTAAGAGAAAACGTATCATCATAGCAGTCTAAAGAGGAGACTCTCTGAGTCAAATGACAGTGCCGGCTGATTCATCTTCCCCCTGTCCTTCCCCTCTCTCTACCCACCTCGAACCCAGCCTTCCTGGCTCCCTAGCAAAGTGTCCTCTGGTTGTGACACCATCAAGGGGCTCATCCTGTGGTCACTGTAGTGAAAGCACGTGACCACATTCAATTTTGGGATTCTTGTTGACACGGCCCACAGGCAACAGCAGGCAGAGAGCCTCAGGAGGGTATCTGTTTCAAAGCCAAGTCTTCCCTGGATCAAGAACGGTAGTTTCCTTTGGGCACAGGGGCTTATCTGCAACAAGTAGCTACATTTTAACTGGCAACTGTTGAAGCGATTTTGAAAGTGCATTTCACCTCCAACATCAGCTGGGTGAATTCTTCATTACTGAGGAATGAAGGCTTCCAGTCCTGCTGAATGTCACAGATTTCCGTTTGCGCTGAGACTTCTAAAAAAGAGACACAAATAAGCCTTTATAGTCAATGGCACCTAGAAATTGGAATTAACAGATGAAGCACATGTTACTTCTGTGTAATTTTGTGTAAACTTCTGTGTAGTTTAATTTAAGAAGCCAGCATAAGGAAATATGTTACCCTGATTTCCAAGGACTGGGAGCTTTGAATGTTCTCACCTCCCTTAATGAGGCTTTAGGGAGGATCATCCCCCACCTTCTCTATGGCTGGGGTGCCTACCCTTGCAGGTGGTACCACGGCCCTGAATGTCTACATGACGAACTCCGTCGCCAACAGTTGGAATTAGGTAGTTGCCACCTATGAAGGCAACAGGAACAAACACTGGGATGGTGTGACACCTTCCTAAGTGGCTTCTTCATGGTCCAGGTGAAGCAAAACACTTCACAGATCTGGGATTTTAAAAATTCCAGAAACATCTTAGGTATGTGGAAAATAACCCACTGTGTTATACAGAATGTACCATATTTTTCCGCACTTCCGTTACTGAAATACAGCGTGCTATACCCATGCACAGAATGTACTCTCCTCAAAACTTTTTGGGGTTAATCTACAGTTTATCCATTTCATGCAACTGCCTTGTACTGAAGACATTATGCGCATTTATAAATTCAAATAGTCATTGGCCTACAAGGGGTTCCTTAAATATTTTAGTTCTTCTGCATTTTTACAGAATGTTTTGTTCTATTATTAAATTATTTCTGATAAGATAATTACAGGTAGCTCAAATGCAATATCAAATACGTTTGTTTTTCCTTCTGTTTATCCTCCATCTTAAACCAACATTTTGCTCCATTTCATGTAGTAATAGGTTTCTTCAGAGAATATTTCCTCGGTGCTAAAGAATATAAGACTCATATCTCAGAGAATAAAACTTCCTGGAGAATGCAAATGGTCCAGGCAGATAATCCATCAACTTTAAGCCAGGAGAAAGATTTCGAGGCTCTCTCCTTTGTGGCTGTGTTTTTGATAATCTCTCTTACATGGAGCATGACGAATGCATTCTGCCATTTGAATGAATGAATCTGAGTGAATGCAGCAGCTACTCATGAACAAAGTATGTAAAGAACTGAGTTATGGCCGGGCGCGGTGGCTCACGCCTGTAATCCCAGCACTTTGGGAGGCAGAGGAGGGCAGATCACGAGGTCAGGAGATCGAGACCATCCTGGCTAACATGGTGAAACCCCGTCTCTACTAAAAATACAAAAAAAATTAGCCACGCATGGTGGCAGGCACCTGTAGTCCCAGCTCCTCGGAAGAATGAGGCAGGAGACTGGCGTGAACCCAGGAGGTGGAGCTTGCAGTGAGCCGAGATCGCGCCACTGCACTCCACCCTGGGTGACAGAGCCAGACGCCGTCTCAAAAAAAAAAAAAAAAAAAAAAAAAGAGCTGAGTTGTGCATGTGACCCTGTAAACCCCCACTTGTTCCGAAATCCAATGTTCCCAGCAGTGCTCGGCTCCACCAGGAAGGTTCCTTCCTTCAAGATGTCAGACAGAACAAGTTGCTGCTGCTGTTTTACAAGGTTGGATTTTTGTCTTTGTGATTTTAAAGGGGCACAAGAGAGCCGCTGTGAGCCTTTGGTAACTGAACACCGGAAGAAACCCAGGAGAGGAAGCTGTGCTGGTGGTCAGGCAGCCAACGACACTGAGAGGGCCCCTGGAGGAAGGGCCGCACTGTGGGGACACACCCAGTGCCAGGTGTCATACGCACATGGTGGAACGCAGCACGGGAAGCAGAGGCAGGTGCTACATGCACATCTTGGCCAGAATCCGTTCTGTGGTGCTGGCTGAGGTGAGGAAGAGAGGGTGCAACTCCCACCTCTTCAAACAAATGGTTGCCACAGTTTGGTCACTTAGAAAAGAGAGGGACTGAAGATGTGCTACAATATTAACCTCACAAACGCCTTTCCTCTTCTCCCCAATATGCACACTCAACTGTCAGACTCTTTTGACCACAAGGATCAAACTGTAGATTAACTGTCTGTCTAGCAGAGGAGTCTTTCTGGCAGCCCAAATTTCATTTAGATAGAGATCCATTCAACGTCACGGTGAAGGAAAAGGAAAGACCCACTTCTTTAACCTCAGTAATTTTTAGATCATTCTGTATGACTGGGTATTTTGTCAACGCTAGCATAATAATACCGAAAGCAGCCGTCTCATTCACTTTGTATTTCAACAATTGAATTAGACTCCTTGGAAGTGAAGGTTCAGTTCATAGCATATTAAAAAAAATATGTTAGATACGATGTCTCAGATCGAGGAAAAAATGTTACACTGGGAAATAAAATTCAGTGTTACGGTCAAAGTGGTTTCCAAATTTCCAGGGAAATAAAACCACCTGAGAGCTACTTTTGTAGGAAAACATTGTGATTAAGAGCCAACCCCCAGAATTCTACTCTGGTATCACCTGTAGCCATTTCCTAGCGTGCTCAACTCCCGACTGCTCCTGGTATATCTGAGTAATAAGCAGTATATGTTTGAGATGTATGTGCTCAAATAAATTCCTGGAAAATGGGGCAGAAATTCCACAGCTGTCCTGGGTAAATATTACCCTGTTCAACAGGGAAATTTCTCCTTATTCTACAGCTCTCCCCATCTCACCTTCCATCCATGAAGGCAGACACATTAAAGAGGTGTGAATGAGGAATGGGATTTAATAGTAGGAGAAAATTTCATTAGGTCAGCTTGAGACTCACTCAGGAAGAGCAAACGTGTAGGCCAGCCTGACCCTGTAGAACATTTAGATGGATGTAGATAAGGATGTCCAATATGTCCTGCTATTTACAGACTTTAGGGATGTCTCTCTTATGATAGCTACTGTTACAACATTTTGCTACAAAGCATCGTGATCAGATTCTCATTTTGATTTGTATTACTTGTATAGTCCAGGATTAAAATTTATTTCCCAAGCTGAGAAAACAAACAATGCTGAAATACTGGGGAAAGAGCTAAATAATTATAGCAACTACTTAGACCTAATCATCTGTCCTTACTTATCATGTGGTCTGCCTTTAGCATGAAGGCAGGAAGCGTGTTGAAATTCATAGTTCTTAACCCTCACTGCATGCCGGAATCACCTGGGGAGCCTTAAAAATGCTGATGCCTGGGCCTTACCTGACCACCTGCTGGTGAAGGGCTCTCCACCCTCTACAACAAACAGCCCTGATTTGCAGTGTTTGCCCCTTTCTGTGGTATAGATATGCCTACCATGGCTGATTTCAAGCTACCAACTTTGGCAAAACTCCTGAAAATTGAACAATCTTCTCTTGCAAGCTGGTATCCCAGTGTGGTCCCACCCCTAGAGATCGTGACATATTGGTCTGTGGGGGGTTACCTGGTAATATGTAGTTTTCAAAAGCTCTTCAGGTGATTCAAATATGCACACAAGGTGGAGAACCAGTAGTCTAAATGGACATGCTCAGGAACAGCTGTAGTGCAGCTGTGGTATAAACAGCCACAAGAAGCCCTGCAGATCACCTCTCGTGGAGGAGCCATAGAGTGTAGTGCTAAAAAGCTGGGCTCTGGAGACAGGCTGCTGGGTTTAGATTCCACGTTTTCCTGGCTGTCTGAGTTGGATGAGTGACTTGACCTTGTGTGCCTCATCTGTGTGATGGAACTAACTCGAAGTGCTGCCATGGGCCGGGCGCGGTGGCTCACGCCTGTGATCCCAGCACTTTGGGAGGCCAAGGCGGGCAGATCACTTGAGGCCAGGAATTCGAGACCAGTCTGGCCAAAGTGGCAAAACCCCATCTCCACTAAAAATACAAAAAATTAGCCAGACGTGGTGGCACGTGTCTGTAATCCCAGCTACTTGGGAAGCTAAGGCAGGAGAATCGCTTGAACCTGGGAGGTGGAGGTTGCAGTGAACCAAAATTGCACCACTGCGTTCCAGCCTGGGTGACAGACCAAGACTCTGTCTCCAAAAAAAAAAAAAAAAAAAAAAAAGGGGCTGCCATGAAAAGGAGCTCTATGTAGAGGAGTTCCTGTATGTAGAGCTCGTAGAATATTGCGCAGCTCACAGGAAACCCTGTATAGATGCTTACGGTCAGTATTCTCTACTCTGTTGCAGATGTCTGCAAAGTTCACGTCCATTTGGATTGCCAGTAAAGTGATTGCTTTGCTTTTTTGCTTTAGTCCAAGTTTTGCTCTAACAACTCTATTTCCCCAAAAAATGTACCATGAATTTTCTGCTTCTTTTGAACACGAAATCAGAGACGAGTGAGATCCTGGCATGATCCTGGTTGTGTTTAAGCGGGTTGTGAGGACTAGACCTTCGTCTTATGAAAAAGGCGAGCTGAAGCAGGCTCTCCCGGTGTTTGGAGGCTGCATTTCTGCTGACTGATCCTTTCCAGGACCCAGATTTGACAATTCTGTCATTCCACAGTGGACAGAGCCCGGCACAAATGTCAGGCTGACGAACTTGATCCCAGCTGTCCTATTTAACAGCTGTCCTGCTTCGCAGTGGCACTGACCTAGTTTGAGTAATTTGCACAAAATATCTTGGCAATCAAACCAACCTGCTATTTCACTTGGCTAAATCATTATTTAGGAAATATAACCATTTTGATTAAATTATCAGGGCGATCAAATACTGCTGTAACACTTCATTCCAATCCTGCTTGATTGGTCTTCCCTGACTTTTAACAAAAGCAATTAACATGTTCTTTACTCTCTCCTGGGCAGCTTTGGAAAAAACTAATATGAGGATGTATCATTACTGTCACATTTTTAATAGGTATATATGATCATCAAAGAAATAATAAAAGAATAAGAAGTATAATGAAACTTTCTGATGTCCCAGCCGCACCCTCTTTTATGAAATCATCTTGTCTAGGAAAATGTTCAGTGGAAGAGACACATCACTGCCTGCCTGGAAGAACTGTAATTATTTCCTCACTAAGTCTGACATTTCTGACTTATTATGTTTGGTGTCATGATTAAAGAGAAAAGAATTCTGCTCTTCCTGCTTGCTAATAGGTTCAGAGCCCTCTCCACTATTCTGTGACTTTTTGTAACATCCTGGGTGACTGGCAGGGTAGGTGCAATCACACTAACAGGTAAAAGGGTTTGAAGGAGAGGAAAAGGGAGAGAAAATGATTTGAGAAAGACGTGAGTTCAAGGATGGGTTCAAGTGGCATATGCAGGCGATCATGTGATGGAATATTATACACTAATGAAAGGAACCAGCAACAGCACTGGAAGAATGGGAGGAATCTCTAAACATCATGTGCATAATTCATGGTTCCATCTGAATGAGACCCCAACAGGCAAAACCAACCTATGGGGTTAGAAGTCAGCACAGAGGTTCCTTCTTTTGGGAAAGCAGAGGATGACAGGAAGGGGCTTCTATTTCTTGACCTGAGTCGTTGGTTCCCTGGCTGTGTCTGCTTTGTGATAATTAATTCAACTGTAGAGTTACGATATGTATAGTCTCTGTATGTGTTACTTTTATAAAGTATTACAAAGTTAGAAAAAGAATGGAGGCTGGGCGCGGTGGCTCAAGCCTGTAATCCCAGCACTTTGGGAGGCCGAGACGGGTGGATCACGAGGTCAGGAGATCGAGACCATCCTGGCTAACCCGGTGAAACCCCGTCTCTACTAAAAAAATACAAAAAACTAGCCGGGCGAGGTGGCGGGCGCCTGTAGTCCAAGCTACTCGGGAGGCTGAGGCAGGAGAATGGCGTGAACCCGGGAGGCGGAGCTTGCAGTGAGCTGAGATCCGGCCACTGCACTCCAGCCCGGGCGACAGAGCCAGACTCCGTCTCAAAAAAAAAAAAAAAAGAATGGAGTGCCAGGATAACTGGAAATCCACATGCAAAAGGATGAATTTTCACAGCCTACCTTACGACATCTACAAAAACAAACACAAAATGGATCAAATATCTATGCTTAACCTAGTTTAAAATTATAAACCTCTTGGAAGAAAACATAGATATAAATCCTTGTTACCTTAGATTAGGCAATGGTTTCTTAGATAGGATGCCTCAAGCACAAGCAATCAAAAGAGAACAATAAATCGGACATTAACAATTAAAATTTAAAACCTTCGTGTGTCAAAGAGTATCACTTGAAAAGTAAAAAGACAATCCACAGAATGGGGCAAGATACTTTCAAATTCTATACCAGATAGGGGTCTAGTACCCAGAATACATGGAGAACTCTTACCATTCAAGCATAAAAAGAAAAATCAATGATTTAAAAACAGGCCATGGATTTGGACATTTCTCCAAAGAAGATATACAAATGGCCAATAAACACATGAAAAGATCATGAAAAGGAAAACATCATTAATCATTGGGAAATTCAAATCAAAGTCATATAAGATATCACTTCATACCCACTAGGGAGATGGTATTAATAATAGTTATAATAAAAAAAGACAGTAACAAGTGTTGGCAAGGATGTGGAGAAATTAGAACCCTCATACATTGCTGCTGGGAATGTAAATTGGTACAAGCCACCTTGGAAAACAGTTTGGCAGTTCCTCAAAAAGTTAAACACTACCATTTAATGCAGCAATTCCCCTCCTAGGAATACAAACAAGAGAAGTGAAAATATGTATCAACTTACAGATTTGTACATGAATGTTCACAGCAGCATCATTCATAATTTCCAAAAATTGTAAACAACCCAAATATCCATCAACTGATGAATGGTTAATCAAAATATGGTATTAATATATCCATACAACGGAATACTGTTGGTCCATAAAATGGAATGAAGTACTCCTGCGCGCTAAAACACAGATGCTAAGTGAAAGAAGCCAGATACAAAAGACCACATACCGTATGATTCTATTTGTATAAAATGCCTAGAATAGGGGAATTGATAGAGACAGAAAATAGATTAGTGGTTGGCAGGATCTGGAGGGAGGGGGAAGAACGGGAAATGATCGCTAATGGATACAGGGTTTCTTTTTCGGCGTGATGAAATTAGATAGTGGTGACGGTTACATCACCTTGTGAATATGCTAAAGACGCCTGCACTCTACACTTTAAAATGGTGAATTTTATGGGATGGAAATCATATCTCAATAAAAACACAATGAATGTGACATTAAGAAAATACATTCTTTTCACTGTATTTTTTCATGATGTAGCTCCAAAGACCAAAGAGTTCGAGGGCAGTGGCAGAGAGGGACAAAAAGACCCACACGGTCTGAGCCCACAGGAAGTGAGTACTCAGCCACTGCGTCTGTTCAGCATTGAATAAAAGACACTTATGCCAGGGAGTTTTGATCAAGATGTTGTCACTGTGAATGCTACACTGCTTCGGCTGGGTGCTGCCTGTGAGGTTGTTTTGGATTCTCTCGTCTGGCTTATAATGCAATTGGGAGGTGTGTGCCCTCTCCCCACCTAGCCAGAGATGGGCTGATAGAGGGTGGAGTTTCTTTGAAATGGGAAGCCCTCAACTGGTAAGGCTGGGCCTGGCTGGGGAGACAAAACCAACCAGGCAGCTCAGATTGGTGAAGTCATCACCACATGGACAGGGCAGTGAGGAAGAAAAACAGAGAGAAGGGTGACCTTTACCATTGTGTTTCTGCAAAAATCCGATGACCTTTTCCAACACGGTGGTTTTGTCCATTTTCCGCGTGTTACCAGGCAGCATGGAACTGAGCTCTTTGATGAGAACATTGAACTGGTCCCGACGCTTCTTCTCAGACTTGTTTCGAGAAGCTCTGTAAACACAAAACGAGCAGGTTACTGGAACATTCCACGTCACAAAGGCTTTGCGATGAAACAGAAGCACTTTCTATTAGAGCACATTCTATTGTGATCATCTATCTTATCAAAAAACTCTTTCAGGAAGGTCACGCTGGCCACATTTCCGAGGCAGGAGGATAGAAAATGTTTTGCTAGACTCTTGGCCACAAAGACAGACGGCATTAATAATCAGTCAGTTCTGACTCAGACACAAAATCTTACACAGATTAGCTCTGAGGCCGGATGCCGCTCACTCGGACTTCATAGAGCTTTCGCTTTCAGAGAGCAAAGGACACACCGCTGACTAAGATGGCTGCGCTCAGAGAGCCCTTCCTAAGACTCAAACCGTGTCCCCTTCAATCCAGAACACCCAGCCCGGTTCCAGGGCCCAAGGGGTGGCCAGGTGTCCCATGTGCCACCAGCACATATGTCCTGGCCCCTGCTCCAAAGAGCTCATCGCCTTGTTCAGGGAGGCAAGATGCACCCTGCCCACAACAGCCAGGGCTGTGCAGACCCAGGGCGGACACATGACAGGTACTGCCCATGGCTGTCAAGCTGCTAAGAGGAGATGAACCCTTTTTAAAATGACATGGAGGAAAGGTAAATGCATATTACTAAGTTGGAGAAGCCGGTCTGAAAAAGCTACACACTGTATGATAGCAAGTATATGACATTCTGGAAAACGCAAAACTACAGAGACAGCATAAAGCTCAGTGGTTGCTAGGGGTTAGAGAGGGAGGAAGAGAGGAGTTTTAGGGCAGTGAATCCACTCTGTATGACACCGTACTGGTGGATATGTGTCATTACACATTTGTCTAGACTTGGGAGAATGTACAACACAAGAGTGCACCTTGATGTTAACTCTGGGTGGTAACAACGTGTCAGTGTAAGCTTATCAGCTATAACTAAGGCACCACTCTGGTGGGGGACGCTGATAATGGGGGAGGCTGAGTGTGTCTAGGGAGGGTCCAGGGGGACATGGGAACTCTCTGTGTCTTTCACTCAATTGGTCTGTGAGCCTAAAAATGCTCCAAAAAATAAAGTCTATTTTAAATAAGTGACATCCTGTGCTGCACACCTATAGGAGAGATCAAAGTGAAGCTGCTTCGTTTGAGGGGAGGGGCCTCCCCCAAGCCACCCAAGCACCTCTGAGGACCCTGAGATCCTCAGGAACTTGAGTAGGGAGTCATGGCTGTCAGGGATGCTCTAATTAACAACCAGCAAGGAACACGTGATGCAGAAAGCTCTCCGGAGAAGTCCAGAAGCAGCGCTACTTGAGGGGCCTCCATCTTCAATGACATGCCATAGGCCCTTCATCAACAATCCACGCATTTGAAGGTGATGCAGCGCTGAGAAAGCTGGTTCACTCCTCCCCAGTTCACTGAAGACAGACTTGTTCCAGAAGTCCGCTCTCAGAGAGAGAACAGGGGCCCCAGAGGCCAGGCCCATAAAACACTGCTGCTTTTCCAGGTACCTGGGGCCCGGGATCATGGTTCCCAGGGGAGCAACTCCTTCACCGGGAGGCTCCTGGCCAATGTGTAGTCAGGACAGAGTGTGCTGCTGGATTCGGATCCACCTCCCTTGGAGCAGGTATAAGTATCTATAGGTAACAGTATCAATAAAGACTCTGCTTCCCAGGACAGCCTTTGGACATAAAGGGACATATTTCCAAAACCCTTTCCCTAGACACCACGGGGACCCTAACCACTCAGTTTGCCCCTGCCTAATTGCACACAACCCGCCTTTATTTCAACACACACGTTCACAACCCATCTTTTACCTGTCCCATCTCAGTTTAGGCTGTTTCCTGATAACATGTGGGCAATTCTTCAAAGCTTAGCTAATGTGCGCGGTCACCACCCTTTACCTAGGGGTCTTTTCCTGCCTCTCCCCTCCTCCCTGTCTGTTCTTGGATTCTGGATTAAGGGACTTCTACAAAGGCCCTGTCCCTCGCCGAGCCATTCTCTTTACCTGCGCTGTCTCACATCACACACTAACTGCAGGCGTGGCGGCAAGATGTTGCGGCGTCTTGTTGCTAGTCCAGGCTAAAAGACCATGTTCAAACACACGGGAGAGAAGAAAGGAACCCTTTAACTTTCCAAGTGAGTGTCTATGCATTATAAATAATTTTTTGCCCTAGATTTTAAAGAGTGACATGCAACCTCCTTAGCCAAAAAAAGCTCTATTCCTGTCCTAGTTTGCCCATTATAAATTATTTGTGAGCCGATAACACCCAGCTCATTACTGCTCTGTTCTCTTCTTCAACGGGTGTAATGACGACCAACACGGCCTGGCAGCAACTCTGACGAAGGCTCCTATCGTTAGTGACAGAGACACAAGCTTGTTTCCACCCACCTCCGGCTGGGACACACTGTGGTGCCCACTGGAAACTGGTCGCTGTCAGCTGGTTCCGCTGCTCTCAGGCAAGAGAAAGAAAATGAGCCTGGAATGACCTTATTCCCAAAAAGAGGGTCCTCTCAGCAGGCCCCGAGACCACCACACACAGACACTGGGATGAAGGTTTTGAAAGACACCCCAACAACCAGGCTTTGGTTTTTTGTTTTTGAGAGAAAGTCTCACTCTTGTTGCCCAGGCTGGAGTGTAGTGTCCGATCTCAGCTCACTACAACCTCTGCCTCCCAGTTCAAGTGATTCTCCTGCCTCAACCTCCCGAGTAGCTGGGATTACAGGCACGTGCCACTACACCCGGCTAATTTTTGTATTTTTTAGGAGAGATGGGGTTTCACCATGTTGACCAGGCTGGTCTCAAACTCCTGACCTCAGGTGATCCACCAGCCTCGGTCTCCAAATGTGCTGGGATTACAGGCATGAGGCACCATGCCTGGCCAGGCTTTGGGGTTTTAAGGCATTTTTTAAATTCCATAAAATTCATCCATTTTAAGTGCATAGTTTGGCGTATTAATTGGGTAACTACCACCAAAATCAAGATAAACAACAGTTCCCTCTTCCTAAAGAGGTTTCTCCTGTGTCTTTGTGATTGACCCGCCCACCCCCAGCCACAGCCACAGGCAACCACTGATCTGCGGGTAGTTTCACCTGGTCTAGAATTTAACAGCCCTGGAATCAGAGTATACAGTCTTTTACTTTGATTTAGCATGACGTTTTTGAGATGCATCGTGTTGCTACACATATTAACATCCCATTCCTTTTTCCTGGTGACTAGTATTCCTGTGTATGAATATGCCACAACATCTGGTTCATTTCCAGTTTGGAGGTAATAAGAATAATACCATTCTGAATACTCAGGTACAGATCTTTGTATAGATAGAGGCATTCATTTCTCTTGGGTGAATACAGAGGCATGGAATTGCTGGGTCATCTGGTAAGCGTATGTTTAACCTGATAAGACAAGGCTGCACAAAGCTGGCTACACTGTCTTTGCTTTTCCACCAGCAATGTATGAAAGTCCCGGTTGCTGCAATCCCTGTCAACACTTGGTGTTATGAGCGGTTTTTTGTTTTTTGTTTTTTGTTTTTTTTTGAGACGGAGTCTCGCTCTGTCGCCCAGGCTGGAGTGCAGTGGCCGGATCTCAGCTCACTGCAAGCTCTGCCTCCCGGGTTCCCGTCATTCTCCTGCCTCAGCCTCCCGAGTAGCTGGGACTACAGGCGCCCGCCACCTCGCCCAGCTAGTTTTTTGTATTTTTTAGTAGAGACGGGGTTTCACCGTGTTAGCCAGGATGGTCTCGATCTCCTGACCTTGTGATCCGCCCGCCTCGGCCTCCCACAGTGCTGGGATTACAGGCTTTAGCCATTGAAATGTTATGGCTTGGATCTGCATTTTTCTGGTGACGAGTGATGTTAGACATCTTTTTACATGCTTAATGGCCATTTATGTATCTTATTTTGTGAAGCGTTTGTTCAAACCTTCTGCCTATTTTCCAATTGGGTTGTTTGTTATCTTCTTCTTAAGAGAGAGAGAGAAATAATAAAAGACGAGAGAGAGAGAGAGAGAGAGAATAAGAGAGAGAGAGAAAGAGACAATGAGAGAGAGAGAGAGAGAGAGAATAAGAGAAAGAATAAGAGAGAGCAAGAGAGAGACCAAGGGAGGGAGGAAGGGAAGGTATGTGTGTGTTTTAAATATACATGGATATTGACTTTTGAATGCAGGGCCTTAGGTTATCTGTTTTGAAGCGTCCATCATCGGGCATCTTGGGAGTTTGGGTCGGGTTACACAGGTAACATTTGCTGGGCACTTACTATGTATGTAACGGGCACCATGTTAAGAGCTTTACATCCATTCATTCCTTCAATCCTCATGGCAACCCTTTAAGGCAGGTACTATTGCATTTCCATTCCAAGGGGAAGGAGCGCGGCACTGAGAGGCCGTGTAACTCACCAACATCACAGGTCTGGGAAGTGGTGGCACAGGCTGCCCAGGGCCCACACTGTGAGGCTGTGCACCCTCCTGCCACTTCCTACAGCTCCCTCCAAATCACTGTGGCATGACCTGTTATGGACCTATGGACCCAGTGTTCTGGGAACGCAGAACTGAGAGTGACTAATTCTGGCTGCTTGAGTTTATAGCACAAAAACTAAGCACACCATGAAGAGAAACAGTGCCACACACTAACAGGAGGCTGGTGTTTGCGTTCCCTCTTGGGGAAGGATACGGCAGGAAATCAAGGGAAGACTGTGACCCTCACTTCCGCTCCTAGGAGGAGCGGCCTTTCCCACTGCGGTGGTCACCTGTGGTGTTAGGATTTCTGTTCACCAAATATTTCCAGTTTTCTTCTAGACACAGTAGGATTGCGCTTCCCTGCCCCTTCGCTCGGCCAAGAACATGTAGGCACAAGTGCCATGTGTCGGTTCCCAGGGAGAAGCATGAAGAGTCAGTGCAAAATCTGCCTCATTCCTTTTTCCATTCACCTCCCTTGGCGATGGGAAGTGAAGCCTCTCTCAGCCTGGGTCCTTGGGTGAGGACACTTTACAGCAAGGGCCCAGCAGCTGTGTGATGAGCATATCGGCTTTAATGAGATTTGGGGATTGTGTGCCACACAGCACAACTAGCCTATCTGGATACACATAGCAGGGGATTGAGGCAGAAGGGCACCCATGGGTGGAACTCAAACATCCATTTATTAAATGCAGTACAGACAGACCTCCAGGGAAGTGGGGGACAGGTTACCTTCCAGGACCCGTAATAACGGTACATGTTTATGGGGTACAATGCGATGTTTAGATGTATATATACACAACATGGAATGATTGAATTAAGCTAATTACCATACCTGTCACTTCACTTATTTGTGGTGAGATATCTGACATTTACTCTCCTTGCAATTTTGAAACATACAACACTGTATGTCGTTATTAACTCTAGTCACCCTGCTGTGCAACAGACTTCAAAACCTGATTCCTCCTGTCTGACCGAAGCTTTTTACCCTTTGACTAACATCTCCCCACTCCCTCCCCCTTTGACAGGGCCTCTTCCACTTCTGACTTAAGGGTTCTCTGGACCAGGGCAATGAGAGACAGGAAGAATATCCTTTGTTCTATATTCTCTGATTTGCACCTTCTGTGCACAAGACGCTCCATCAAGCAATATGGAGGAGGCACCAGTAAAGAGGTCTTGGCCCTCAGCTAAAAGCAGCTCAGTGTCTACAGGAAGAGACTGAACTCACTCCTCAGAAGCTGGTACAGGGGGTGCAATACACTACCGCCCGGTGAGAAGTTCCAACGAATTGTCAAGGGTGTTCACCAAGGAGGGAGCCCAGCCACAGAGTCCCCAGAGGCAAGCATATGAGATAGCTTCGAGGGGTGCATGGTCAGGAGTGGAGAGGACAGCCCAGGGGAAAGCCGAGTGGTCAAGTTTGGCAGCAGAGTCGGGCTCAATTGGAGAAGGAAAGGATAGGGTGGGGAGGCAGGGGGAGGCTGATGGCACAGCCGTGAATGGCAGACCAAGCAAACCTGGTCTGAGCTTTTGGATGAGTGGGGACAGGGAAAGGAAATGAAATGAGTCCTCAGAAGAGGATGAGGAACCCAACTTAATGGGAAGTTAGTAGAGACAGGAAGGGTCCAGGAG